ACTTAACCTCTCAGAGCTTTGTTTTCCTAATCTATAAAATGGACAGTGTCTGGTTCCTAATAAATGTTCAAAAGTAACCTTTATTTAAATGAGTGTTATCAAGAGTTTTTAACCTTTGAATTTTTCTGGAAGTGTTGGTTCTTTATTGTTTAGGATAATTCCTGGTCAAAATCTCATCCATAAGGAATTAGCGTAGTTTGCTTCTAACAGGAGCCAAATATTAAGGAACTGCCTACAACCAGTAATGCAGCCTGCTGGAGAAGCAGGGACAGAGCCTGGGGAAGATGGTGGTGCCCAGCTATTTTCCATACTCCAAGGGCAGAAACCCAAAGCAGAAAATGACCTTGTTTTTCACAGTTTCTCCCATTGAAATCCTAAGTGGCTTTTCCCTTGCTTTCCATTACAGAAATTGTTAAGGGACTGCCCATGCTGACCAGCCGATTTGCACACATATTTATGTATTTCAAAAATTGAACACAAATCATGAGGTTCTAAATTGGTGAACACGTTCAGAGGGCATTTGGGCACTATTTATTAGAAATTTGAAATTTGTAAAAATTCCATTTTAAAAAATGTGTCCAATAGAAACACTTAAGTGTGACAACAATATCAACAAGAATATTCATTGCAGTATTATAGTATAAGGAAAAAAAGGTCAAGATAAGAAGATAATAGGGCTGGATGTGATGGCTCACACCTGTAGTCTCAGCTACTCAGGAGGCTGAGGCAGGAGGATAACTTGAGGCCAGGAGTTTGAGACCAGCCTGGGCAACATGGTGAGACCCCTGTCTCAAGAAAAAGAAAAAAAAAGATAATAGAGAATCCTGAGACTCAGCTGCCTTCTGACTTTTTTGGGAAACCTTCCAGGATCCTTTCTGTTGTGTGTTTGTGTGTGTATGTGTGTTCTGTTAGTTTTGTTTTCTCAAGCTAATTTGGGTTAGATTCCTGTCACTCAGAATTCTAACAAAAGAGAAGTTGTATTCTGAGGGAAGAGTGAGTAGTTAAAGGGTATGGCCTATAAAGAGAGGTAGGAAAATGATGGGTAGTGTATTAGTTGGGGTTCTCCAGAAAAAGAGAACCAACAGGATACATGAGAGACTGAGGAGATAAGGAAATTCAGAAATGGCAGCATGAGGGATCCATCGAGTGGCAAGAGGAAGAGAGAACGGAATGTAAGGAATTGGCTCATGTTTTTGCAGAGGCTGGCGAGTCTAATATCTGCAGGGTAGGCCAGCAGGCTGGAAACCCAGGAAGAGTTGAGGTTGCAGTTCCAGTCAGAACACAGTCTGCTGGCGGAATTCCCTCTGTGCACATCTGTGTCCTAATTTCTTCTTATGAGGACATCAGTCATATTGGATTAGTACCAAACCTAATGACCTCATTTAACCTTAAATACCTCTTTAAAGACACTATCTCCAAATACAGTCACATTCTGAGCTACTCAGGGTTAAGATTTCAGCATAGGACTTTTGGGAAAACACGGTTCAGCCCATAACAGATAGGAAATAAACCTTGAAAGAAAAAATATAGCGGAGAAATTGCGGAGTTGGACAGGGCCACGAATGTGGGAGGACAAGTTCACAGGCAGTGCTTTCATTCTGGCTGTTGGTGGAGGATGACAATAAATAAGGGTGTGGCTGGAATGACTGTGCTGGAATCATAGGCTGAGGGAGCAGTTGGTCCTTGGTTATTGGAAGATTGATGAGGCTAACAGCACGCTTTAGTTTACCTAAAAAATGATGCAGTCTCAAAAATTATTCCTGGGTCTCTGGCAAGAACTCTTTTCAGAAGGTTTACGAGCCAACTCCCCAAATTCTCCAATCTCAAATGAAGTCACAGAGGCTTGCAGTGGTGACCTAGAGGCCTTAGGATCCCTGGGATACAACCAGCAAAGCTACATCCTTTTCTCTCCCCTACCTTCTCATGGTACAGGGCTGCTCTTTCCCTCCACGGTGACCCATTCTCCAGTGATGGCCATCAGGTGGTGAATCATGCTTCTGCAGATGACGCAAAAGGATCATTTCCTCAAACCAATGTTGTCATTTTCACTGGAGTTCTTCATTCTGTGTAACCACTTGAGAGCTTTGTAAATCTGCATAGTATATGTAATAACATGCTGTGCCAGATATATAGGTGAAACTCTTGCATGGTCCCACCGTGAGAG